CTTGGCCAGGCTTGGTGGTACATACCTTTAATCTTAGTACTTGGGAAGCAGAGACAAGAAGATAGTAAGTTCAAGATCAGCCTGTGCTAAATGAGACTATGCCTCAAAAAACTAAAGATTATTCTTTGTTTTGTTTCTTGGTATGTTTAAAAAATTTATTGTGTGTGTGTGTGTGTGTGAGAGAGAGAGAGAGAGAGAGAGAGAGAGAGAGAGAGAGAGATATGGGGGAGGGACAAATGCACCATAATACACAAGTGGAGATCAGAGGACAACTCTGGAGTTTGTTCTCTCCTTCCACCTTTATATGGGTTCCAGGGATTGGACTCAGGTTACCAGGCTTACACAGCAAGTGTTTTAACCCACTGAGTCATCCCCTGGGTCCTCTTGGCATGTTAAGAGCCATGGCGTTAGGGTTGGGGCACCTTACTTGGTAGTATGTATGCTTAGCCTGTTCAAGGCCTCTTCTCTCAGACAGTCTGCTAGGTCCCAAAGTGGGAAAGGTAAAGCAGAGGCAGTTCCAGTTCTTCAGGGCTCATCTCAGGTAGGGGGATGGATGTGCAAACAAGTACCCAGCATGAGATACTCTTACTGCTGTCGCTGTGGTGAATGGGGTTTCTGAGATAGCCAGTGGAGCGTGCACCTGACATACATTTTAGGGCAACAGCAGGGCAGAGTGTTGACAGTGAGGACAGCTACTATGGAACAGGGCCCTGTGGTGACCACAGCTGTCATGGAAATACAGTGCTCTAGTTTGCTTTCTATTGTTGTGATAAAACACTGCTTAAGGAGGAAAGGATTTATTTGGCTTATACTTCTAAGTCACAGTTTATCCTTGAGAGAAGCCAGGGCAGGAATCTGGAGGCAGGAACTAAAGCTGAGACCATGGAGGAATGCTGCGTCCTGACTTGCTTCTTTTGGCTTGCTCAGCTATCTTTCTTATACGTGCCTGCCCACCTGCCCAGGGATTGTATCACCCACAGTGGGCTGGGCCCTCATACATCAATTGGCAGTTAAGAAAATGCCTCATTGATGTGGCCACAGGTCAGTCGGATGGAGGAAATTCCTCAACTGAGTTTCACTCTTCCCAGGTGGCTCTAAAACTAACCGGCACCTGTAGAGATATGTGTTGCGTGCTAGGGCAGCCCAGAGCAGGCAGCAGTTATTCTCCCTGGGGCCATGAAGACGGGTGGGTTCATGGAGGTCCTGAAAGATGGATGGATCATTCCTAAGGAGGAGGGATAAAAGGGGCCTCAGATGCGATGACCATATGTGTGTCACACTACAGAAGCATGGAAGGAGGCGGATGCAGCTGGAAGCAGCCATGGAACACTCCCAGGCCAACCTGATCCTCTTGGCATAATGTCCGCTGTGTTCTGGGGAAAGCAGGAATCAAAGTGGTCAGCTTTGTCTGGGAGCCTTGGGAGGCTGTCTGGAAGTGTGTTGATGTAGTGATTGAGTGGAGTAGAAGAAGACAAAAGGGCCCAAGACTGAGCTGAGGTCCCAAGCGTGGGCCACTTTCTCATTACCAAAGTAGTAGGGCACAGGAAGAGTGGTTTAAGAGGTAGGGAGACTCCAACCTATGACGTGTATCTGAGCCTCCTGTATGCCAGATCCTTGTGGCTGAGGCTCTAGAAAAATAAGAAGGCTTGTGGGGAGGGGGGAACTGAGAATGTAGCTCAGTGGCAGAACACTTGCTTAGCACACACAAGGCCTTAGCTCAATTCTCAGTATTAAAACAAACTGAAACAAAAATAACTTACTTTCGGGTAGAGAAAGCTTGAGTTTAGAGACTAATGTGGAAGCTCTGCAGACCACTACTCTAAGAACGCTGCTCTTGTTATAAGACTTTCCTGAAAGGCACAATCACCATGAGGAGCTGATAGCTCCTGTTTATCTGGTGCTGTCCTGGCCCACTGGTGCCCATCTGAACTGGGGCAGGTGACTAGAAGGGTACCTGTACCCCAAGTGCTCCCCCTGGTGCTGCAAGGAGGCTGCAGTTGTGGTGTTTGAGTGGCAGCAGAGAAGAAGCCATGGAGGAGGCTCCTTGGATAGTAAGGGGATGGTCTGATCTTCCAGTAAGGGAAGAAGGGGTGCTGGAAGCAGTCTGCCATTTGTGAGAAGCTCTCAGGTGTGAGCTCTTAAGTCTGCCATTCCAGCCCCAGGGCTTGCGCTCTCAGGTGTCCAGCACTGGAAGGTTGCCAGCACTGGAAGACCTTTGCCTTGCCTACTCATGATTCCTATCTAGAGAGAGCAGAAGGACCCCAGACAGCTGATTGGCACGTGTCCACCCACCTCACTGCCCATGGGGGTGGTGATTGGTGTCTTTCACCTGTTAGTAAAGAACACTGGCGGGGGGGGGGGGTTGCAACATTTGTGAACCTGCAGCTAAGCTCTTCCCTGGAGAACTAAGCACAGCAGGAGGAGGCTGGTTGGAGGAGGAGCCCTCAAACTCCTACCTCCTGGTTTGACTCATGTCCCAAGACATCATAAAAAATAGCTCAGCAACTTGTATTTAGGTCAGTCTGACCATCTTAGTATTTGTCTTGAGAAGTAACTTTTCCAAGGTCCTTTTCTAAGGTAAAGAAGAAGGGAACTTTCCACTGCCTGTTTCCTTACTCAGGAAACATTTCAAACACATTCCTCTGTTCCTATTTGGGTGGGACAGGTCAGGACTGTGAAGACAAGTCTTTAACTGAACTTCCAGTGGTACCTTTAACCTAATAAACAGGTTTGATTTCCTACCATGGCCATGTAGGTCCCATTCAACTCAGTGGGACTATGGACCATGAATCCCTGGAAAGCAGCTTGTAGTCCCCTGCCTCTGCCTGACTGCTGAGATCTGCTTTCCATCATTTCCTGATTTGTTGAGAGCCTGCTCCGTGCCAGGCACTGTGCCAGTTACTGGTGGCACAGAGAGGAGTAAGGGACCCATTCTTAATGACCTGAGACAGGCTGATAAGCCTAGAGTCACATACAATAATTCTGGGACGATTCCTACTCTAAAGCCTACCGTGTTTGTCCTGAAGGCAACATGGCTGCTTTGTCTTTTTATTGAATTTTCTCTATATGGAATGTCTTCTTCCATCTCCCTCTCCTCCTTTCCTCTTCTCCCTTCTCTTCTTCCTCCTTCTCTTCCTTCTCCTCCCCTTTCCATTCTTCTTCCTCTTTTGCTTTATAAACAAAAGAGGTCTAGAGGCTTGGAGAAAAGACTAAGAAAAGGTTTATTGGCTCCAACTCTGGAGGTTCAGGGTTATTGATTGCATCAGCTTCCTTGCTGTCAGAGTCCCAAGGCAAGGCAACACAGGACAAGACAAGAACTGTGTGTGTGTGTGTGTGTGTGTGTGTGTGTGTGTGTGTGAGAGAGAGAGAGAGTGAGAGAGAGAGAGTGTGTCTTTATCTCCTTTTATCTCCTGTTCTCTGCTTAGCTACTAAAGTCATCTTGGCATGGATCACTTGAGTGAAATAGATAATGCTTTCTGTGGCATGAGCTGTTACAGAGGCAGGAGCGTGAAAGGAAGAAGTTACTTCTGCTTAGTAGGAGAGCTACCTTGGGGTCCTAAGGGTGAGTAGAAGGATCCAAATGGTACAGCCTGACCTGAAAAAGGTCCCGAAGATGAAGACAAGGCTGACTCATCGCGAGTGTGAAGACTTAAGGGCCAGCATAGGCTGGGAGTTATTAGGTGTAGAGCTAAAAAGAAACCCCACCCCCACCAGGGATGGTGACTTCATTGTCCCTTTACCAGTCAGAAGAATGGCCTGAAACCCAGGACTGAAACTGACCTGCCTAACCCTACTGAGTGGCACAGGAGGGGCAATGCCCTTTTCTGAGCATGTGTGCTCCAGGGAGCCCTTTTCTAACCTCACTGTGATTCAGCAATGCTCTGGGCCCCCTAGTTGCTTCTGGACATACGCCAGATAACTGTATCCTGGAGAATTTCCCCTAAGTGTTGAATGCAAGCTGAGAAGGCTTGGTGGGGAAGGATTGAGAAGCCGTTTGTCCCAGGTGGGAGTGTGCAGAACCAAGCCCCACTGGCCCGTATAGTGAGCACAGTGGTAGGGCCTGGGGGTAGTATCAGTGTGGCAGGTATTCTGGGTGGTTTTAGGCTGATTATGTACTCTAGGCAATGAAAAGGGCTCTCAGCTTTCAGTGTTCAAATTGATCCACAGTGTCAGGAATTGGGGCTTTGTGTTCTGACTGTAGGCCAGGCTCTCAGTAGAAACAGCATCCTTTCCTCTAACTTGTATCTGTATTTTGCTCCTTCTCCATGCTAGGCACTGTCGGGGATCCTGAGAAGATAGTAGAAAACCAGACAGACACAGGCCTTTCCTTAAGGAACTCACGTGAGGAAGACAGAGTAAACACTCCCAGTGGAGAAAGGCTTGTCACTAAGTCTGAGTTTCATCCTGGGACCCATATGGTGGAAGGAGAGAACAGAGTCCCTGCAAGTTGTCCTCTTGTTTATAATGTATGAGTGTGTGTGTGTGTGTGTGTGTGTGTGTGTGTGTGTGTGTGTGATGACAGGCAATGAAGAGAAATTGCAGTGAGGAGAAGTGAACAGGACTTTGAGCTGGGGATATAGCTCAGTGATAGAATGCTTGCCAGCACTTTGGTTCCCAGCACTGTTAAAAAGAAAAACGCAAGAGAGGACTGGGTGTGGTTGCCCACACCTTTAATCCCAGCACTTGGGAGGCACTGTGAGTTCAAGGCCAGCCTGATCTACATAGTTCAAGGCCAGCTGGGGCTGTAGGAAGACCCTGTCTCAAAGAGACAAAAACAAAAAAACAGACTCTGATCCTTATGATGCTCTCAGCAAGTACTCTTATCCACTGAGCGCTCTCTCCAGCCCCGAGTTGCTCTCTAAGGGCTCAGAGTTCTGTTCCTGTGTGCCACTTTCTAGGCCAGTTAACCCACTGTTCTCAACATGGGTCTTTGGGGTTGTCCTCTCTGTCCCTGTGTTTGGCATCTGTCACTGGGTTCATCCAAGGCTCCCTTTCTTCAGCTACAGATCTGGGACACAGCCGGCCAGGAGCGGTTCCGAACCATCACCCAGAGCTACTACCGCAGTGCCAATGGGGCCATCCTCGCTTATGACATCACTAAGAGGAGCACCTTCTTGTCAGTGCCTCACTGGATTGAGGATGTAAGGAAGTATGCAGGCTCCAACATTGTTCAGCTGCTGATTGGTGAGCTGGGGACGGTGACTGGGAAGGGCTCTGGGGACCACAAATCCTATCTCCTGTCTCTGCCTCTCTTTTCAAGCCTGCATAGGGGGAATCACTGAGCTTGGCCAGGAAGGGAGCCAGAAGTGGAGCCAGGAGCTTGCAATCTTGCTCTCTCTTGTCGGTTTCAAAGTTTAACTCAAAATTCAGATTAGAAGCTGGGTGTGGTAACATATGCTTTTAATTGCAGCACTTGGGAGGCAGAGGCAGGCGGATCTCTGAGAGATTGAGGCAAGCCTGGTTTACATGTGGATTCCAGGCCAGTTGGGGCTATCTCAAAAAACCAAAACCAGGGGCTCAGTGGTTTTGAGAGATGGCTCAGTGGTCACGAACAGTGAGTGCTCTTGCAGGGTACTTGGGTTCACTTCCCAGCACCTACATAGTGGCTAACATGGTAGCTAACAACCTATCTTTTACTCCAGTTCCAGGGGATCCGATGCTATATTCTGACTTCCATGAGCATGACACGCATGTACTTACACACATGCAGGCAATACACTCATACACATAAATTAAAAATAACTAGGGGCTGGAGAGATGGCTCAGTGGTTAAGAACACTGTTCTTGCAGAAGACCCAGGTTCGAATCTCAGCACCCACATGGCAGCTAACAACTGTCTGTAACTCCAGTTCCAGGGGATCCGACAGCCTCTTCAGTCCTCCGTGGGCATTGCACGACATGGGTGCACTTATTACATGCAGGCATAACACTCATACACATAAAATTAAAAAAAAAAAAACAACTAAAATATTGAAAAGCAAAAAACAAAAAGTTCAGGTTAGTTAGAAAGCAAGAAGGAAGCCTGGAATTTGCTCTGTAGTCCCTGTGTGTGGTCTGCTTCCTGTTCTTCACTATAAGTTGTAAAGAGAGGTCCAAGGCCCACCATTGCATCTAGTGTTAGCCAGCAGTCCTGGGGTAGTTCAGAGCATCACATGACAGGAGACAGGCCGTGTGCCCATGTGTTGCATCTTCTCTTTTTCATAAAACCACCAGGATTCAATCATGGGACCCTTCTCCCCTCCAGCACCACAGTAGGATTAAGTTTCTATCTTTTTATGCCTCACAGTAGAGACTAAACTCCAGTAGGAGTTTCTGAGGGGACAAAAGCCATAGTCAGACCGTAAGACCAATTGTTGCAAGTGATACTCATTCATCTGCAGAGGTGATATGAGCTCTGGCCCTTGTAACCCTGCCTTCTCCCAGGCTTAAAGAGGTAGAGTTACTTATCCAAGCCTCACAGCCTGTTAATAAACAGACTTGAGATTTGAGTTGAGTTTTGTTGGCTGTAATTCAGTGGCTTGCTTTGTCTCACTGTGCTACAGGGGCTCAGTTGCTTGTGGGTCTCAGAATCAATTAGAAGACTTACTGAAACACAGAGCTTTGCCTTTGGAAGGGCTGGATGGGGCCCACATGGGGTACTTCTAACAAGTTCCCAGGCAACACCCATGTTGCTGGTCTAGGGACTTCTCTTCAAGAGCCACAGATGCAAAGATGCTCTCTACCTCCATTCCCCCTTTTCCACTGATACAAACTTCCCAGACCTGGGTTCAGGAAGCTTTTTAGTATGTGTGTGATCTGTGGGGCCTCACTCCTATGATCAGGCTGGTGGTTCCTGATTTGTTCCAGGCAAGTTAGGGTAGTACGTGATGTGTGACCTGCATCCTGCCTTTCACAGCCTGCTGTGGGTGTGGATGTGCCCCCTGGATCTGCACTGCTTTGGCAAGAAGAGCTTTCCTCACCTGACCCATCTGCTTTCCCCTTAGCCTTGCTATTTCTAGAAAATGTTCTGTTGCAAAATATTTTATGCTAGGGTAGTATAATCCAGGCGACTATCACCTGTGTCAGTAATTGGCACCTCATCTCTACCCTTGTCACTCTTCCCTTGTCTTAGCTTGGGACCCTTCTCAGACACCAAACCATTAAGTCTGTTGGGTATACTGTAGTACTATTTACATTATAATACAATTTTTCACATTTAAAAATACTGACATCTCCTAACCAAGTGAGGTGGGATGCATCAGTAGTCCCAGCTATGTGGGAGGCTGAGGTAGGAAAATCATTTCAGCTCAGGAGTTTGGATCTAGCTTGGGCAATGTAGTAAGACCTAGTCTCCAAAATGGAAAACAAAACCAAAAAAAGTCTTGACAATATTGAGATTTCTTTATGGACATCCATAGATGATCTGTGCTCAAATTTTTAATTGGTCCTGAGTGCCCCCCCCCCCAGTTTGTTGAAACAAAGATCTAAATAAGTTCTACACAGAGAAATTGCCTGGCGTGTGGTTTAAGGTTATCAAGGAAAGTTTATCTTTGTATAACCTTTTTGATTTTTTTGCCTTCCCTATACTCACTTTGTAAATAAAATGAGACTAAAAAATTTCATGTAGAAATTGGGTCCAGGAGTAACTCAGTAGATCAGAGGGTGATGAAAAGATATCACCCCTTAGCAGAGCTAAGGTTGTTCTGTTGTTTGTAGATAACTCGAACCCTGTGCTTCTATTGTCAGAGAAGTAGAAAAATAAAACTACAGGGCTGGAGCATGTGCAGTGGATAGTTCTGCTCAATCCAAAGTACTGTTCAGTGGAGAGTACTTCTCCAACATGTACAAGGTTGTGGGTTCTATCTCCTATTCTTTGGGGCAAATAAAAAGGTATAATAAAAACATAGCTAAGGAAAATAGGAACAGACAAATAATAAGCATTCTAAACTTTAAACCAAAAAAAGAAAAAAAAGAGAGCTATGGCTCAACAGTTAAGAGCACTTACTGCTCTTGATGACCTGGGTTTGGTTCCCAGCATCCACATGGCAGCTAACAACCATCTGTAACTCCAGTTCCAGGGGATGTGACACCTTCATCTGGCCTCCTTGGGCACTAGGCAGGTGATGTACTTACACACATGCCGGTAAAACAAATACATAAAAATAAATAAATAATTGTTTTGAAAAGGAAGCAACATGAAATTTGTTAACCTCAGCATTTGAGGATCACCCGCCCCATGTTGTGTTCTCAGGTCATGACGTCTTTTCATCCTTTGCTGAGGTGGTATGAAAGACTGAGGGAGATCAAGACCTGGAGATGAAGTGACTCACCTAGGGGTCATGTTGCTTGTCCAGATCTTCTAGGGCTAAAGGACCCTGGGCGCTGCTTCTCAGGCTCAGTGGTATAGCATTTACTTAGTATGCATGAGACTGTAGGGTTCATCCCCTGCACTGCAAAGGAATAAAAAGAAAATAAAATGAGAGACCAAAGGGCTTTTGTGTGTGTGTGTGTGTGTGTGTGTGTTGCCTGCATGTATGTGAGTGTACCCGTGTCGTGTGTGTAGGTCGAGAACAACTCTTTGTTAGAGTTGATTCTCTCCTACTTTGTGGGTCCCTGGGATCAAACTCAGGTTACCAGACTTGGAAGCAAGTGCCTTTCCCTGCTGAACCATCTCGTTGGCCCAGAACAAAAGCTTTAATTTTTTAAAAACATTTATTTATTTATTTATTTGTATGTCTGTATACGTATGTGGATATGGGTATGCCACAGTGCATATTTTGAGCCCAGAGAACATCTTACAGAGTCTGTTCTTTCCTTCTACCATGTGGGTACTGGGGATTGAATTTAGGCTATCAAACTTGTCAAGCTTGTCAGCAAGCACCTTAACCTGCTGAGCTATCTTACTAGCCTAGAATAAGAGTTTTAAAATAAAGAAGGCAGGCTGGAGAAATGGCTCAGCAGTTAAGAGCACTGACTGCTCTTGCAGAAGACCTGGGTTTGATTCCCAGCACCCACATAGTGGCTACGAACCGTCCTTAACTCCAGTTCCAGGGGAATCTGAAGCCCTCTTCTGGCCTCTGTGGCATTGCATGACATGGGTGCACTCACATACATGCAAGCAATACACTCATACATATAAAATAATAAATAAAATAAAAAAATAAAGAAGGCACCTGACTTGTTGCCTGCACTTGTCCCAGCTCTCAAGAGGCTGAGAATCAGGAGGATTGCTTGAATTTGCAAGTTCAAGTCTAGCTTGGGCAACACAGTGAGACCCTCTTTTTTTTTTTTTTTTTTTTTTTTTTTTTTTTTTTTTTAATGGCTAATGGCCAGACATGGGGGTGCATGCCTTTAATCCCAGCACTCTGGAGGCAGAGGCAAAGGCAGGCTGATCTCTGTGAGTTTGAGGCCAGCTTGGTCTACATAGCAAGACTGTTTAAATTGAAACTCTGCCTCAAAAAAAGGTTGAAAGAGACTATCTTAAGAAAGGTCACTTACCATTTACGTGTATCTGGTGAGAGGGCTTCTGTTGTAGTTCTTGGTGTGGCTCTGCCGGGTGGGTTGTACTTATCTGGAACCCATAAGCCTGTACCTGGCCTTTCTCTACAGGAAACAAGTCAGACCTTGCTGATTTCCGGGAGGTCCCACTGACTGAGGCGCAGAGCCTGGCTGAGCACTATGACATCCTCTGTGCCATTGAGACCTCTGCCAAGGACTCCAGCAACGTGGAAGAAGCCTTCATGAGGGTGGCCACCGAGCTCATCATGAGGCATGGAGGTCCCATGTTCAGTGAGAAGGGCACCGATCATATCCAGCTGGACAGCAAGGACATTGCCGAGAGCTGGGGCTGTGGGTGCTGACTGGGGGGCAGGGCAGGCAGGCCAGGATCTCATCTCCTTTGTCTCCAGCCTGCCAAGCCTAGCCCCCTCGAGCCCACCTTCTAGGGTATTGGATTTCTAGAGGGATTCTGCACCCCTGGCCTGGATGCTGGGTGGGAAGGGGCAAGCAGGGCACCCTGTACAGAAGGCTGTTGGCCCAGGGCAGGGTGTGGACCATCCTGCCAGCCACTATCCAAGCCCTCCATGTTCTACACATTCCAGGACTAGCCTGAACCTGACAGAACTGTGGTGGGACTGCATCGTGCCTGGACTGCTGCAGTAGTACAGCAGGTTGCTGCTCTTGAGAGATGTGGCTGGCACCACAAGTTCTTCCAGGTCATTCTTGGGCTTCTGTCTGGAGTTCAGAAAGCATATCAGCTAGACCAACATACTGGTGCCAAGCCTAGTTCCTGGGAAGCCTGAGCTTATCCAGGTGGAAGCTGTGTCCTCCTTTCACTGCCAGCTTGAAGCTCTTAGACAACTTCCTGGGGCCTGGCTTGATGCCTTACTAAGACGTCAAGTTTTTTTGGTTTTCCATGTAGCTTCTCATTTTCATCAGCCTAAGTATAGGGTTATGGCCAGTGGCCAGTGGGGGACTTCCTGCTGGCTTGAGGCCTAAAATTTTGCCAGTTAGGTTGCAAAACCAGCTAATCTTTTAGTGCTGTTGGGGGGTGAGGTGAGATAGGAAAATGAATGTTTAAGGGAAAAGAAGCAACTTGCAGGGGGCAGCTCACTGGTCGGGCAGATGCTTAGTGTTTGGGTTCATTCTTCAGCAACAAAAACAAAAAAGCAGCTTATGTTGTGTCCCAGAGGCTGAGGCCTGAGGGACCTGTGGACACCAGCCCTGCCTACTATGTAGAAATCTTCCCTGCCATAGTCAGTTGCTTCCAGTTCCTTGATCATCCTGGTCTGGCTTACAGTTTCTCAAACGAAAAACATGAGGTCCTGGCAGTCCTTGATCCTGCCATTCTCCTGCCCCCACCTCCAGTCCTTACCACTGTCTCTTTGGGTTAGAAGGAAAAACTGGAGATCAAAGTAAATGGGTGCAGGGATCTGGGACTGGGGAGCCAGGGGATGTTTCCAAGGTAATCCTAGACTCTTCATGTTAACCCTGTTATGCCTTTCTACCCCCTCAGTGTAGACCGTCCCCCTGCATTCCCAAGAAACTTCTCTTAGACCCAGGAGGAGTCCACATTAGCCATTGGGCCAGGTTCAGTCCAATCATGGAGAGGGGCTGTGCTACCCCCAAGGCTATCCTTGCTGCTCACCTTGAACATTCCGGTCTGTCCATCCCTTTCCTGGGCAGATCTGGCCATGGCCAGAAGCAGGGCTTTGCGGCAGCTGTATCCAGCTAAGGAGATAGAATGTGGTGGCTGAGATAAGCAGAGCTAGACACTGGTGGCTGAATGTGCACCTACGGGTCCCCTTCCAGTCAGGAGGCAGTCTGTGGGATGGTTGAGCCTGGTTCTAGTGAGGAGGAAGGTCCCTGAGTGTGTCAGGACTTGCTCTGAGGGCTGCAGGTAGGATTACTGGCTGTATACTGTGGGAGGTACAAGTAGCAACTGCCTGGCTTTCCTGGACCTGATAGAGTGGGGCCGTGGGCTGTGCCTGCTGGTTTCAGTTGGCTTAAGTTCCTGGCAGAAAGAGCTGGTTCCTTCTCTGACCCCTCCTTGGTAGAGCCTGGGTTCCTCTCATGAGCACAGTTCCCAGCACTGAGAGTGTCCTTCAGACTGTACATGGAACCATCTGGAACATCGTGTTCCATGAGCCACTCTGAGACTGCTGTTCTGGGGTTAGGAAGGCAGAGCTGAGGCATACACTCAGGCTGAAAGGGGAGTTCTCAGAACCCTGTTCTTTTGTGGAATGGTGGGAAGCTTGCCACACATCTTGGACCTGTGTCTGGTGTTCAAGTAGAAATTGTTTTCAAGACACGCCTGGCCATCCAAGCTTAGGTACTGACTGACCCTGCCATAGCTATACACTAGAGAAGTTTCACTCTTCTCTGCAGCAGTATCAGGGTTGGGCTCAGCCAGGACATTGGGGCCCTTTTCATCCTCAGGGCCTAGAGAAGGGAGGTCAGGAGCCTGCTCTATACAGATTTCTACCCTTTCCTTCACAGGATGGCAACCTACGGGTGATGGGGCTCACTTGCCACCTTGGGCCATGAGCCTCTTTCACACTCGAAGGGCTGGAGGTATGCATCCCACAAGGGCTAACTCAAAACGGAAGAGAACAGAGCCCTGCTTGGATCCATAGAGCCTTTTCTGTGATGGCCTCTTGGCTCACCCAGCAACCAGGGAGATCACATCCTTCGCCGTTCTCAGGAAGTTCACTTCCTTTTCACAATCCCGAGGTGTTGAAGGTGTGAGGCTCTGCCCCTGTGCTCTTGAACAGGAGCAGCCCTGCTCTCAAGAGTTTAGCCAGACACCAACATCCCCTTGAGCCCTGTATCCCCCCACCCTTGCCCCGATGACCACCCTGTCCTCTCATTTAAACACCCTTCTGTCCTCAGTGGCCCCAGTTCCACTGCCAGGCAGCAGGTCTGGAAGGCCAGGCCAGGCCAGTGCCCTAAGTTAGGGCCATCAGTGTGGATAACCATGGCCTCCACAGCCTGTCCAGCTTCTTTCTACTCTGTCCTGTCTGAGTCAGCCTGGCTTCCCTCTCCCAGACCTCTGCCTGCCTGCCTTCTATTCACAGCACAGAATCCCACAAATGACCCAGTGGACACATCTCCAAGGGGAGATGGCTCCTCCCCCGCCACAAGCCTTATTATCTCTAGAACTTGCCCTGTCGGACAGTTCTTTGACTCCTCATTCTGTACCCTGGGAGGGCCACAAGTCTGGACTGAAGCTGGTTCCTGCAGAGCAGCTTTGGCCATCCCATTCACCTTCAGAGGCTCACATCTTCAGATACTAGTGCCAGGGTCCTAGGCCCAGGCCCTCAGCAGAGGCACCTGATCTGGGCCTTGGGCTTTGTTAAAGGCCTGGACTTGAGTGCTAGAAAACGAAGTGTGTGAACTGGGAAAACAAAATCAGCTTTGCTTCCCCTGGGCAGGCTTGACTGGCCCCCAGTAGCCTGGGGCCTTTGGGGCAGTAGAAGTTTAATATCTTCCTTTGTTTATAAACTACCAAACAGCAGGTGGAGGTTAGAGTGCTGGGGAGGCAAGGAGTTGCCCACAGGAAAAGGCTGGGTAGGGCCAGAGTGTAGTAGGAGTAGAGAGGAAAGGTCTCAGGTGTTGGCCACTAAAGGTACCAGAGAAAGGGTTCCACGTCCCCTTGGGTAAGGGTCTGTCCCCAAGGGCACAGGCCCCAATTGGGGGGAGCTATAGGGAACCCCGGTTTCTCATTGAATTGGTCACCTGCTTCCAGGATGTTGCCAGCAGTGGGCCTCTAGCCAGATTCTCACCCCTTTAGGGCCTGGACAGATGCAGCACTGCCAGCCCAAGGATGCCATGTGCATTGGGGACATTTTCACATTACCTATTTATGAATATGTAAATATATCAGATCTATTTTTGAAACATGAAAGTTGCCTTTATGAAGATATCACAGAGCCAGTGTACAATTCAGCCATTAAACATTTCTGTACTGAGTCAACAGTGTGCATGCCTGATTCATCTCAGCCTAGAGCCAGCTTAGTGGACTATTCTCTTTCCTGCCCTGCCCTGCCCAGCCCTGTGACTTCTCTTAAACCAGTCTTCAGGTCTGAGATGGGTAGGTGGGTGCATTTATTTGCTGCTCAGCCTGATCTGGGGCTAGGACCATGTCTATGATCTTTTGCTCCTGGGCTAGAAGGAATCAGAGCCTAGGGACAAGAGGAGGACCTAGGATTAGGTTCCATCTCTGCTAGGGGCAGCTGTGTGACCTTGGGCAAGATACTTCCTTTCCCTAGGCCCTGGTATCTTTTAGATGGGATTATGTTAAGGAGAACTTGTGGATGATGGTCCAGTCCATGAGGAAGGAATCATGTTTTTGTTTTTTACTGAGGCATGAAGGGTCTCGGAGAGAACAACCTTACTGGTGCCTGGCAGCTAGGAGGAAACAGCTGTTATTCCAAGTCAGGCTCAGAGCCCACAGTGGGCACATACTTCTTGGTGCTCCTTTCCCAACAGAAAACAGTCCCATCAGGTGACAGTACTCAGGATGTGAATGCCCAAGTCAGGTACTTGACTCAGAACTGGTAGCCCACCAAGAGTCCATTTCCCGTCAATCAGACAGGGTTCCTCTGCTGATGGGGGAGCTTTCAGATTGCCTGGCTGCTAGCCTGTCTTCTGAAGAAGGGGTTGAGAGGGTTCATTCCTCTTGACAACCCCAGCTCTGAGACAGTCAAGCCTGAAATTCCAGGTCCGTCTGCTAGTGTGACTTGGGTTAAGACATTTCTTTTCCTAGGGCCACAAATATAGGATCCACTTGGTCCAACCAGTACTCCAGGAAGCACTGGGTACCCTCAACAGGGAAGAGCTTAGAACACTGAAGGCTCAGAATCCTTAGGTTTCAAAAGGGGCATATCTTCTCAGGAAGAACACCTGGTATAGAAACTTCCTACTCGTCTTAGGGCAAGAAGAAGCAACACAGCCCACTGTGCCTCTGAGAAGGTAAACCCAGAGCAAGGCTTGCCTGAACTTGGCCATCTCATGCCCTACCCATTCCCAAGGCTTAGACCTAAACTAGTCTGTCCCCAGGATTCTCTGATGTCTCTGGCCACACTACAGGGCTGTTAAGACCATTGAGCAAAGTCAGAGCACCAGGTCCAGTCCTGGATTTTGCAGCAGAGAAATAGGAGCCCCCAGAAGGGCTTGTTCTAAGTCCCAACTTCTCTCCTGACTTGAGCCAGGCTCAGGCTGAGTTCTGGCTCTACCGCCTGCCCTGTCTGTCTTTGAGAGCTTCCAATGTCCCTCCATGGACGTTTCACTTCCCTCACACAGTAGCCTGGGCTCAGGGGTCTCTGACAGCCCCTCCCTCAGGGAGCTTCCAAGAGCAAATTGCCCATTGACTAGGTCTCACTTCCCTTCAGAACCTCCCCAGCCGCTAAGCAGCCCACATCCTTGTCATGTCAAGGGACAGTCATTTGCCCTGACTCTGGCTTCCCAGATGTTCTCCCTGCTCCCAGGCTGTCATCCTTGTAGGAGGTTCCTGATACGTAGCAAAGACCTAGTGGTGCTTTGGACTCAGCCATTGGGTGTCCACCAAGTACATCCACACATGCCAGAGCACAGCTGACATTCGTTGTGGACATTAAGAGTCTAGTAGGACACTGCCCTGCCTCCATCCCAGATGGAGCCTGGGATCTGTTCTGTTCCTATCACACCCCGTCTGGTGCTTAGGGAGCTCCCTCTGCACACGGTGCCCTTCCAGAACTGATCTCACAAGAAGGATTCTCTTCCAATTTACATTCAAAGAGGTTTGCTCCTTATGATAACAAGTATGTCTGCTGAATTCTGGCCCTCCAGCTTGCCAGGAAGCTCCAGGGTCCAGCTCATCAGGGAGCCATGAGAGGAGGTGGGGATGGTGAGAGGCCATAGTTAGCTCTAGGAGCAGAGAGTGGGACCAACTTGCTGTCATATGGGTGTTGGGAACCAAACCTGGGTCTTCTGCAAGAGCAAACAGTGTTCTTAAACAGTGTTCTTAACTGCTCAGTCATCTCTCTAGCCCCCAGATTCACTCATTATTTCTTCTCCCTTTCCCCTTCTCTCCTGCTTCCTTCCCCTGCCTCCTCCTCCTTCACTTAAGACAGGGTCTCCCTGTAGTCCCAGCTGGAACTTGCTATATAGATGGCTGGCCTTGATTTCACAGAGATCTGCCTGCCCCTAACTCCTAAATGCTGGCACTAAAGGGGTGAACCACCACTCCCAGCTTCTTTAAACGAAATTTAAAAAATTATTCTTTGACAATGGCAAACATATGTACGATGTATCTCAATCATATCCACTCCAAACACCCCTTTTCTGGACCTCTCCCAACACATGTCCCTCTCACATTCATGTCTTCTTTTTGTTTTTTGTTTTGTTTTTTGAGACTCACTATGTGTACCCTTGGCCAGCCTGGAACTCTCTATGTAGACCAGGCTGGTCTCCAACTCATAGAGATCCACCGGCCTCAGTCTCCAGAGTCCTGGAATTAAAGATGTTTCCCACTATACCTGGCTCTCTCTCTTTTTAAAAAAAATAACCCACTGAGTCCAATTACTGCTGCCTGCATGGGCAACCTATCAGCAGCTACATTTCAGAAGAAAATGATTCTCCCTCTCCAACAATCATCATTTCCCAATAGTTCCTCGAGACTCATGAGCCCCTCCTCCATCCATGTTGGAATTATTGACTGCACTGATCTTGTGCAGGTCACCATAACTGCTGTGACTTCATAAGTACAATGGCCATGTCATGTTCAGAAGACAGCATTTCACAACACCCCCTCCCATCTTCCGACTCATATGTGCTTTCTGCTCCCTCTTCCTCGATGTTCCTTGAGCCTTGGGAGGGTTGATAAGGATGTCTCATTTAGGACCAAGCACGCAACAGTCACTTACTCTCAGCGCTTCAACCAGTTCTGGGTCTCTGCATTGACTGCTGCTCACTGCAGAGAAGCTTCCTGACCAAGGTTGAGAGAAGCACTCAGTATGTCCACTCCACATTCTTGAGTCAGAGTCAAAATTTTATCTTTACATTTAAATTTTTTATTTCTTGCATGAATGTTTCAATTGTAATGAATATTTTTTTTAGGTAAGAGAAGGGAATTAGAAATAATATGAGGGCTGGAGAGATGACTCAGTGGTTAAGAACACTGGCTGCTCTTGGGGAGGACCTGGGTTCACCGGCTACCAATGGTCAGTAATTCCAGTTCCAAGGGAACTGATGACTCCGTCTTCTGACCTCGGTGGGCGTTGCATGATATGGCTGCACTTCCATACATGTAGGTAAAACACATATACACATAAAAATAATTTTAAAAAAATTTTAAAACTTTAATAACCACATGATTAGAAGAAGCATTTCATTACAGCTTTAACATACTCAGTAACACATTCCAGAGCAAGGATACATCTCTTTCAAAGATGACTGTACATTTTTAGGTCACAGTTGAATTAATAGTCATACAATATTGAACTAAGTATAAACCCTGTAAGACATAAAATTGAATGAGTTTTCACCCTTTAAATAAGATCTCCATTTCATTTTAAGATATGCTGTTTCCTACATTTTTAATGCTACTAACACATGTTTGCACATGTGTCTTTAATCTCTATGTATCTGATTATTACTAGTCACAGTCGGTTACACTCAGATCCTTAGTACCTGAGTATGGATATAAAGTCATCAGGTAGATTTCACTGGTAATGTTTATCACCTCTACTATTTAACATGAAGTAAATTAAAAAAATTTTTTTTAATAACTACATGATTAGAAGAAGCATTTCATTACAATTTTAACATATTCAGTAACACACCCCAGAGTACATCTCTTTCACAAGTGGCTGTAAGTTTCTAGGTTCACAGTTGAATTAATACAGTTATACAATATTGAACGCAGTATAAGCCCTGTAAGACATAAAATTGAATGAGTTTTTAACCTTTAAAAAAGATCTCCATTTCATTTTAGAATATATTGTTCCTTGCAGAAAGACTCATCGTTTTTGCTACTAACACTGAGATGTTGGCACATGCATCTGTAATCTGTATGTATCTGATTATTACTAGTCATAATCAGTTGCACTTGGATCCTTGGTGCCTGTGTATGTCTATGAAGTTATTGGGTAGATTTCAATGGTAATGTCTATCACCTCTACTAATTAACATGATGTAAAATAACTATTTTTTTTAAAAAAGGAAATAATCTGAGTGTCCCAGGAGAGGCATGGTATAGAAATGATCTCCAAGAAGTATGCATTGGAATACGGGAATGTGTCAGAAGAAGCTGGGAACCATTCATGACTGAATTTTCCATTCAGACTTGAATGTTTATCTGTAAGAGATGAGTGAATAAAACTAAGTGATGAGCATGATGCAATGGAGCTTTCCTTAAAGGCTAGCACTCACCTGTAATCCCAGCACTCACGAGATAGAGGCAGGAGGATCAGAATTCCAAAGCCAGCCCGAGCTACACCGCAAGTTTGAGGCCCAGTCTTAAAAGCCAAAACAAAACAAAAAAGAATGACTAATCAAATACACATGAACCATGAGGATACGTTCCCAACTATACTAGCAAGTAAAAAAATTTAGGTATTATAAAGTATA